CTCTAGTAATATATTTACTGATAAAAATGGTGATGTGTTCAATACTTATTTTACCCGCTGTTTATGGATTGTATTAATTTTTTACATTGACACGCTGGAATGAAAACAAGCAAAATGAAATAAAAGCAACGACTTTCTACTTTTTGTCTTTTTTWAAAAATGTAAGAAGTTGAAAGTACAGATAATTGTGTGAAAATGTAAGAAGTAGAAGTAAAAATTAGGCTGAAAAATAATAGCCCAAGTACACATCCCCAAAAATTCCACTTAAGTACAGTAACAAAGTATTTGTACTTAGCTACTTTAGTCAGGTGTGTTGGAGCAGAGAAACAAAACGTGCAGAAAACAGCCTTAAAGAACCTTGTTAGTCTCAAATTCAACATCTATTTTGTTAAGACTCTGGCCCATTTCTCAAGCTGTTCTCAGCATTTCTTCATCTCCTCCTCCAGTGGTTTTCAACTAGGGAAGAATTATCTAATCAAGGCACACTGCCCTGCATGTTTTAGGGGTCTCCCCGCTTTGACACACCTGATTCAGATGATTGCAGTTCAACAAAAACCTGCTAACTAGTTACTAACTGAAGTCAGGGCTGAAAAACACCGTGGTCAGAGCCCAATGCAGGCACAATTCAACTGAAAAAAGTCCACACCGACTCCCACAGACTATGAATTCATTTTTATTTGTGTAGATAAGATCAGATGAAACTAAAGACAGTTGTAAAACAGACATATTACTAAACTGTCCATTTCAGGTAAGAAATCACTCCTTTAAACACATCAGTGAGGTTAGTTTTTGGGATAGAAGTTAAATGCTTGAGGTGTCAGCAGGAAATGTAAAAAAAAAATAATAAAATGACATGTAGAGAAACTCTAGATACTAAAAGAGTATGCATTTTTTTCTACAAAAGAATAATTAAAAAAAGAAACTTATTTTCACACACACACAAAAACAATTCTTAACATCCAAAGAATAAAATCTCCCTGGAGACAAACATTTTATCCTCAGCTGCAGTTCTGTAGCGAGGTTAGTAACTCAGCATGCAGAACACTGATAATTCATTAAAATATATGTTCGTTTTACGTGACTAGACACAGAAACATCACTGCTAGTCAGTTTGTGTCAGATTTCTTAGGTCTTACAGAAAGCTTTACTCTAGAGGGAGCTAAAAGATTTAAAAACCACAACGTATGTCATTCTGTGCATTTCAAGTTAGAAACGTGGAGGACAAGAGGAATGTTTTTCAGCAGCAAACCAGATTTGACAAAAAATGACCAGAGCTGATTTAAGGTCCTCAGAACAAAAGAAAAATAAAAAGAGGTGAATATACACAACATTTTTTTCTCTGTATTTATTTGAATTATTAAGCTGAGGAGGAGAAGCATGAGCAGCAGCACCCCCTGGTGTTCAGGTTGTACCACTRCGCTGCACAGAAACAACTTCTCCTCCACCCTCACAGGTCGTACTGCTGGCTGCTCTGGCTGGGGAGGAGGAGTGACGGTGGTGGTGGGGGGGCCGATGCCTCTGAGGCCGGGGGCGCTGGTGCACCCACAGGATTAGCCGCTTCATGCCCCAATGAGGAGTCCGACGCTGCTTCTGCTCCGCAGGTGCCGTCTGTAGGGGGCGCTGTGCTGCTGTTGTCGTCACTGAGGGCACTGCTGAGKGGGGTGTTGCTCTCACTGGGAGGCTCAGGAAGAGGGGCAGCTTTATCAGAGCCAGGAGGAGGATCGCTTGAGGGAGGTGGAGCAGACTGGTGGTCAGAGGGGGTCTCTGCAGATGATGCTTCATCTGTGGAGGGCGACAAYGATGGATGCAATTGTGTTTATCAATAAAAAATGAGCAGTTTCATAAAATTCTATAAGCGATATTATAGAAAAAATAAACGTCATATGTGTGAACTGATACCCATTTCCATCGGTGTAGGCTTGTCGTCCTCTTTGGTCCCTGAAGTGTTAGCAGTGATATTATCRGCACCGTTACTCTGCTCTGAAGCTTTGTTTCCAGCAGCGTCTTGTTGTTGCTGCGCAGCTTTCTCTGCCTGCTCAGCCGCTTCGCGCTCCCTCTCCTCCACACGTCGCCTCGCCGCCTCCTCAGCTGCAGCCATCTCTGCTGCTAGCTTCTCCATGTCCACCTCTACCTTCTGACTGCACAACTGGACACAAAACAGGCAACAGCAAAAAAAAAAAACTTTTAAAATGGCTCAAAACATTAGTAACACAAACACATAAAATGACAAGCATTCCTTTAAGGAATGCACGATGAGAAATGGAGCTGAAGTCTTTTTGGTAAAACCTTGAAAATACGCAGGATTCTGTGACACTGCAATTTGAAATAGACCAGATGAAGTCATTTCATTGGAAACTTGATTGGTTTGGTTCACAACATTTGACTTTAGTGAAGGAACACCACACTGCATCTGTTTGTAACGACATGGGAAAATTCAAAGCACTCAGACAAGTTATGAAGAAGAAAATGAACTCTGGTTCATCCTTAGGTATGATTTCCTGATACCTGTTTATCTCTAGCCATGATTATCTGTTCAAACAATTATATGCAAGAATAATCATCATGGGATTGTTCTCCCATCATACTGCCCTGGAAGGGAGATGAAAGTGTTTTGGTGTGAAATGTAATCATCAACCCCAAAACAAAAGGTAAATGACCTTGTGAAGATGCTGATAACGCTGCTCAGACATTTATTATCCACAGATAAATGAGTTCTGTACGGACATGGACGGAAAGCAACACAAAAAGCCAGATAACAGTTTGCAAACTGTTCCGTCTGTTTCATGCCTCCACTATCAAAGTGGCTGCACTGAGCTGTGGCTACAAAGTTGATGGCTCGTCTCATGGTGGCCGTGTGGTGGACACCATGGGGGAGGGAGGCTGTCAAGTTAAAGGAGAAAGTACTATTGAGCCTTGTTGGCTGGTATGACACCAGTGGCAGCTGAGGAGTATTGGTGGGCCAAGTGAGTTGCAATCTGGATGCCTCTGATGCAAAGGATTGAAAATGGGAGGAGTCTGGCAGCTTGTTTGGATGTTATCAGTCCATTAAATGGCCGTTATTAGCAGTTATCAGTCCCATAGAATGGCTTCAGACTGTCCCGACAGTGCCCCCTAGTGGGTTACCAGTGCCATATACGTTGGAATGCAACGATCTGCTACCACCGGAGTCCGGTCTACTTTATCATAGCCCATGTCATTTTCTCTAAAACTAACCTTAGTGGCTTTATGCCTCATATTAACCAGCTGATAATATGAAGCCATTCTATGGGACGGAAAACCCACTAGGCGGCACAGTCGGGACAGTCTGAAGCCATTCCATGGGACTGATAACAGCTAATAACGTCCATTTAATGGATGATAACATCCGAAGTGGGTGAGTTTGGTGAGGTCTTGGATAGAAACTCATGATTGGCTCCAAGAAGATGGCCATCAGTGCTTTAGCAACACTGTGTATAGAGGCGGTGGGGTGCTGTTTGCCTCAACCAGTGATGTTGTCAGGCAGTAGAGGGGAAACTTCAAGGACCTTCTCAGGCCCACTCACACATCTTCCATACCAAGTCTGGAGACACAGGGGTTATCTGTTTTTAATCTTGAAGTTGTTAACAAGCTCCGTAGAGACAGGGCTCCACCTTGAGTTCCTCAAGGACGTTGCCTGGCTGTCTTAGTTGACATGTCTGCAACATTACGTGAACATACGGGACAGTGTCACGAGATTGACAAACTGGGTTGGCGTTTCCCTTTTTTTAATAAGGGGACCACAGGGTGTGTTCCAATTACAGGGGGATCACATTCCTTAGCATCCCTGGTAAAGTCTATCCAAGGCTGCTGGAGTAGAGTTTTGTTGATGACAAGAAACAGTTTCTGTCGTAGCTGTGGAACACTAAACCATCTCTTAATGGGGCAAGGAAGTTTTTTTAAAGATTTGCAGAGGAAACTGGACTATGTCCCTCGGGGTGACTTGTTGGAGGGCTCTATGATCTTGGATACAGGCAGTTGAGATGAGTTTCCTCCACATGATCTCTTATAGAGATAGGGTAAGAGGTTTGGTCATCWAAGAGAGACTCAGCAGAGTTGCTGCTCCTCCATAGAGAGGAGTCAGCTGAAGTGGTTTGGGGATCTGATTAGGACGCCTCCCTACGGAGAAGTTCCAGGCATCTCYAAGTCAGAGGAAAACAGGAGGGAGTGTCTCTCTGGGTCTGGGCTTGCCTTYGAATCTGTGGACAGAAACATCTGGGCCTCTCTGTTCAAGTTGATGTGCCTGCACCCCAACTCAGAACAARTGGCAGTTAAAGGATGAACAGACGCTTGGAACAATATAAAACTCTGCTTGCACTTTAGATTATATTAAGCTATCTTGGGTTAAGCCTTATATCCACTCATTTGTCTTTAGGTTAATTAATATTGCTGTACCCGTTTTAGCTCAGTGTTAAAGGAGTCCGTTGTCTCCAGGAAGCGCCTTTTCTTTTCTTGATGGCGATCTTCAATCTGTAGAAGTTCTGCCTCCAATTTCCTCTAAAAACACCAAAAGACAAAAGTTCAGTAGTCATTAACCTCGCAAATTATTCATGCTAGAGCTTCTGCCAGTTTTAATGCTGAAAATATGAAAGAATATGAAAAAAAAGCATGTCCCGATAACRTACCTGGTGCACCATTAGAGACTGGACTTGTCTCTTGAGAACTTGCATACGAGCTGTTGTTACCACAGAGCGGACATCAGGAACAACAAACTCACTGAGGATGTCGCTGATGAGTCTGTGGTTCCTCTGGAAGCGAGCAGCTGCTGTGTGCTTTACTGAAAAACCATCATCGTAGTCTGAAGCCACAAAAAAAGGGACAAGGTTAAGTGACGAGCAACAAAACCCTCCCAAAACTGCTCGATTCTTGAAACTGGCAGAGTCTAACTGTGCTTTGGAAAGGTCTTCATCTTTCTTCTTTCCACATTTATCATGTTACAACTGAAAACTTCTAGTATTTCACAAAGATTGTATGTGATAGACTAACACAAATTAGCTCATAAATAGGAAGCGAAAAAAATGATGACAGCAAAGTATATCTATTATTT